TCGAGTTTTTAACAAGAAAAAATCTATAACTTTCGTAGATGAACATCTTTTACGCCTAGATGGTCACCATTGGAGCCGTTTCGTCCTCTGCTTTAGAAAGTATATATTTTGTCTGGGTTTCTTTACAAAAAGTGCCGGTGAAGGGTGGGTGAGACTTTTATAATGAGAGTGCTCAAAATATAGAGGCTTTTTTTCATTGTAAAATGACGTCTACTTGAGCTCTCCAATTACAAGAGTCTCACCCACCCTTCACCCGTCAATTCTTTTAACGGACCTGAAGCAAAGTATATATTTTCTAAAAGCGGAGAAGAGGCGGTTTCGACGGTCACTATTTCCTTATTTCCGTAGCAACTATTCATCCACAAAATATTAGGTTGGCCCGAAAGTTCTTTCGCACCATATTCAAAAATTCATAATCTGAATTTTCTAACCGATCTGACTGCTTCTATTCTTATATGAAAGAGTAAGTCATGCTCTTTTCAATGCTTACTAATGTTCATCTGCCACATAGCTAGGAGCGATAGAAGAAAATTAGTCCAAATTCGAATTTTCTGCGTATGGTCATAAAAAATCGGAAACTTGCAACAGAAATCGGAGCAGTCAGTATTATAGGTTCTGTTACCTACCCCTCCTAACTGTGCAAAGATTGCATTGATTGAGCGTCTCTTTGAAATATTATGATTTTCGAGCAAGCAATACAAAAGGGCGAATTTGGTTTATTTTGGCATTTTTCAGGGAAATCGTAACTTTTCATAGAGGCGCTCAACCAGCACAAACTTTGCACAGCTAGAAAGAGCTGGTGAAAGAACCTACAATACCGACTGTTCCGATTTTTGTCGCAAGTTTACGATTTTTTATGACTCTACACAGAAAATTCTAATTTTGACTAATTTTCTTCTATCGCTCCTAACTATGCAACAGATGATCATTATTAAGCGGCTAAGATGTCGTTATAAAGAGCATGACTTACTCTTTTCGTTATAAAGAGCATGACCCACTTTTTTATACAAAAATAGAAGCAAGCAAATTCGTTGGAAAAATCAGAAGTTGTGGATTTTTGAAAATGGTGCGAAAGAACTTTCGGGCCAACCTGATATGTGTTTTTTTTCATGTTGAAAAGCATACTTTTCAGACAGTCTCTAGGCAAACTATGTATGGTCTAAAAGCGGAGGATAAGATGGTTTTAAAAACATTTTCCTTGCTGACGTTGCTGTTCGTCTACAGAAATTACGAATTTCTTCCTTTTAAAAATTCGTAAATGCTTGAAATTTGTCTGACTCTTTCCGAAACAAATCTTCTCGCATGCACATCTTTTATTAGAAAAGGGAAAAGGAAGCGTTAAAAAATACAAGCTGATCAGAAATATAATTGTGGGCTAATCCAGCAGCACATCGGCTCTCATTTCAGAAAAAAGACAACCGTGATGTCAAAGGGTTGAAAATTATAAGCTTTGACTAAGAAAAATGATAAGAGAACGCCATGGCTCTTCCCCCCCCCCCTCCCCCTTACCCCGTCAACATTTGATAATTTCTCTACCAAATGAAACACCCTTCACCCTGGAGGGGCTGCGACCACTGTGACCCCCTTCACCCTGAAGGAGTCATTCTCACCTTATTGCGCCTGTGGTCCCTGCTCTTTTGCTTTACGCAAGAATTGTGTTGATTAAATTAAAGAGTTGTGATTTTCAAGCACGCAGTACAAAACCACAAATTCAATTGTTCGGCATTTTTAATATCATCTGACACTTAACTTTCCGCTTTTGATAGGTTGGCAAGAAGTTTTTCTGATAATTCTGTTATGCTATATCTCAGGATAATGCTTCTACAAAAGCGAGAAATTTGTGGTCTCACGCTGTATGTGGCTCGTATCTGGACAGATGGGAAAATTTACGGTCGGTAGAAGGGGTATTGCCACTTTTCAATTGCCGTTTAACTTATCGGGATTTATGGCTGAAACGTGGGGTTTCGAGGCTTAACCAAAACTAGGGAATGATCAAAGGCTCGCGAGAGAAACGCAGACTGATTCTGGGCAAGCGATCGCCTTTTACCCGCGATTTCGATGAATTAAAAGATACCTGGTTTTCATACTCCTCGCGCATTCCGTATAGCCTGCATGAATGTGTGTAAGTAGTAGTAGCGTTGTAGTATTAGCGTCTACCATATATCAAAATATTTGGGGTGTCACAGCTGATACGGAAGGTGGAGATATGACCTCCGCCCTGATCCTACTTGTCCAAATTTTCGTCTCTATTTCCATAAAAATTATTACTGGGTTGTCTCGTAAGTCTTTCTGGATTTGAATTTTTATTGCCGTAATTCAGTTCTTCTTGTATTTCAAATGGATTGCAGAGTACAAGATGGCTTCCAAGTGTTCGCCCAGACTTAATCTGCATTATATTTCAAGTCAAAATAAGGAATAAACGGATAGCCGTATCTAAAGTCAAAACAACTCCGAATTTCCCACTTCCTCACGTACATATCTTCCTCCATCATTATCTTCACATGAATTTGCTGCATTTTTCTGACGGCTAGAAATCAAGAAAAAGCATGATGAGCTAAATTTTTACTTTGCCTGTAGCGGTCTCAATCAGAGATACTGCCAAAAATTTGCAACCTTGTCGGTGTTCTAATTTTTGAAAAATTTTAATTTGAAGGTTCGAAAATGAAAAGACTTATGGGACGACTGGATGTTTAAGTCCATGCTTTGTTTGCTCTTGTAAAACATGCTTTCCTTGAACGATGTGCCGTACCTGCCGTCTTTACCTGGTACTCTACCGAAGCAAAAACCCTGTTTAAATGCAGTGTCCAAGTAAAAACTCATTATTATTGGCACACAAAATTTGCAGCTTTTTCCATAATTTTTCTCTTTTTGAATGAAACTTTTTAATTTTTCGAAATACAGGGTGTCCAAGTACACTTTTTGATCGTTAATAACTCACTTTTCACGAAGTCTTTTGCTTAGCTTCAAGTCTACTTCACCATTCAGTAAAGTATTTCAACCAGATGCGCGGTATAGAGTAAATCACTTAACCCTCTCCATTACTGTAGAAATACAGTAGGAAATTTTAGCATACAGATGAAACAGGCCGTTTCAATGAAAGTTTCAAAAAATTCTCAAAAGTTGTGCAGAGGTCTATGCATGCTGATTCCAATGAACAACTTTTCACAACTTTTTAGAAGGTTTAAATAGTTTTCATCACCATTTTGAAAAACACTAGAAAGCGTTACTGTGGTTAACCTGGCATAACTTGTGAAATAAAGTTTTACAGTGAGCGCAAATCTCGCATTTAGAGCGACTCAGTATGGCCTTATGTTGAAGTTTCCGACTTGTTGCATTGCCAGTCTGGGGCAAAAAGTAGCCACTAATTGTCCAAACCCTCTCCGAAGCTCCTACCCGTATTATTACAGTAATAAAAAGGGTTAAGTGATTTACTCTACACTATAAATATAAGTTGAAGCGTGCTCCACTGAATGTTGCTTAAAGCTAGGCAAAAGACTTTTAAGGAAAAGAGTTATTACCGATTGAAAAGTGTGTGCTTACTTTTGGGACACCCTTGTATGAAATACATTGTAATGCATTCACCATTTGATTCAACTACCTTGGCTTTTAGAAGGCGGGGCTTCGTGACCTAATCAAGGCTTGGCAATGATCAAGAGCACTTGCGCAAGAGAGACGCAGGTGCATCGCGGGCGCGAGCGGCCTTAATTAGGCCACAAAGCCACGCCTTCATGAAGCCAAGCCAGTTCAATCAAAAATTACAAGCCCAGGCAAACCGCTTGATTTTTGGTAACATAAAGGGCAAATCAAAACATTTCTAAAAACTGGTGAAAATCGAGATTCTAGGGTTTCGGAGCAAAAATGGAATTGCACAGTCCGAAAATAACTCATTATATAGAAACTGTAAGCAACGTGTTGCCAAAGATTAACTCATTAAGCTCTTAGAATTTGCCAAGACTTTTGCACGGTGGGGTAGGGGTACTTCAACATGCCCTTAGCATCATAAAAATGGCCATTTCATGCGGAATGGCTATCATTTTTGTAATCAACATGTAGGATGGCCCCCTTAGATCAAGTTTCAGCAAAATCTGTACCAATCTAAAGTCTTTGCTTTTATACCGTAAACTTACCGTAACCATTATAAACATTGGCGAAATCCAGCCACAATCTTGCATTTGTAGCTTACATCATGATTTATATTACTAGAGAATGAATGCGCCCTACATTCAGAAAGACTAGATTTACATGAAAAAGTTGCATTACTTGCGTTCCAACCCAATAGTTATCACCCAAATTTTATTCAGGAGCTGGCCTCAATGCGGAGAATAAATGAGTTAATCATAAAAATTAGTAACATTTTGATGATGAACATTCAAAACTTCGATTTTGACTTTTATTATCGTATCTGAAAAGAGATACGGATTACTAAGGGAGCATGCTGTTTACAGACAACAACTGTTTGGAGAATTACTTGTTTTACTACTGGGACAGTTAAGCCAAATCTTGGCAGGAGAGAGATAAGGCGTATGTAATTAGCAGCGCTTTCCTAAACTAATCATCTGTAAAATGTAATGGAATGTTGAGTCTGGCATGGCATATGTCGGGAATCGTCTAAGCTAGTATTCACTCAGTTTTCTACCAAGTATTCCACCTAAATCAGTTCGCTAATAAAGTTTGAATGAATGTAAAATTAGTTTTGAGAGGAGTTTTTACCGAATAACTATTATGGTTGTTAACAGGAGTAACGAGCTTTGTGTGCTGTTGACATTGCAGATACACATGGGAAAGAGCCTGTCGCAACTTATTTTGAGTATATTTTCTGAGAACTTATACTTTTGAACTTAAAAAATGACCCACTATGATTTTAGTCAATGTTGACTCATTCATTATATGAACAGACACATGTTCGAAGAGATATGTAAATCTAACACAAAAAGTCTCAATGTGCTCACTTTGAGGAAAAGTACATATAGCAGCGTGATATCAAGCTTTATTTATTCGTAAATAAGCATCGTTTGACAAAAAATGAGCTAAACACGTGAAAACCAACGTGGTTTTTTGAAGTTTTGCAAGGATTTAAAGACAACACGCATGCACAAAGTTTTTACACAGTGAAGCCCATTTTTACAATCGGATTTGGTTCTGCATCGCTTGCCGGTTACACAAGAACCAGCCATACACACATAAGATTCAGGACAATCACGGTCAAGACAATCTTTTTTTAATGGATGCAGTGGCGGCTGTATTGTATCTGGAGACTGGCTTGGAATTGGAGGATTGGATATACCCTTCGATGCTGTTAGTGATAGTGCAGGCTCTGAAGAAGCTTGTATTTCAACATAATTTGTGGACTTCTACATTCGTTTTCTTATTTTTCAAACCTTCCCTATTCTACCAAATCAGCACTTTTGATGATCGAGATCGCATAAACAAGGGTGTTTTTGCTTAAAACTGACACATATGCGCGCCTGATGGGTGTGGAAAACGTATTTGTTCTCTTCAATTTTTTTCAGTTGGTCGAATTCTGCACTTTTTTTAGCAAAAAGGCCAAAACATTGTAAACGCGTAAGTCAGGACAACGACTATCAAAAATTACATCGTCAAACATCCAAAAAATGCCAGTTTCCAATCCTGTGAGAGTAACAAAAGTTTGTCATCAAGAAGCTTAAATTAGCAAACCGACTTAATGAACTCGTTTTGTATAAAGTGCGGTTCATAATTATACGAACACCCAAAATTTTGTAAGTTTTCGGACTTTTTGGGAGGAACTCAAAAAGCCGTTGATACCACGCGATAGAACACAGCCGAAAACGGTATATGATCCATAAGAATGGAAACTGATGTCAATCTTAGGAGTGTTTTTGCGCCTAATGCGAATTTTTAGCGGTTCATAATTATACGAACACCTCAAACAAAGGTCCATTTTTCATTCAAAATTGCAATTATTTGAGTCCAAATTTTTTGTAGAGTTCCAGTAACAAAGTCTGACATATCTGCTACACCCTGAACCCAGTGCAGTTCAAAAAGAGGACCGTTACTTTTTTCAGAAGGCTCTAAATGCTCTTGAAATGATTGCGCTCCAAAAATATCCGTTTTTCTGTGGCTTCCGCGCTCTAATTACCTTCGACCAAAACTATGAGATAAAATAAGCTCTTTCGATAGGTATTTTGTTTGACGCTTGGAAAATCTTTGCGTTTTCGTGCCGTTTTTCAACCAAGTTCCAACCTTACTTTAAAGTTAGCACGATTTCGAGCCTCAAAACTCAGCTTCTGAAGCCGTACAATGAAGTAAGCATATAGTATGTAGAAGTTTACAAGACTGTATATTTGGCTAGAAAAAATCAGCAACGTTGAGCGTTTGTTTTGGCCACGCAGACGTCATTTCCCCAAAAACACTGTTTTTACTATTGCATCACATATTTATTTGGTTTGTAGCTCCACAGCCTCAAGAACAGTTCTACAAAAAACCCAAAAACTTTGGTACAGAAACATCATCATGCAAACAATGCAGCTGCTTCATATCAAATGTTTGCACAAGAGAGAAGCTGAGTTTTGAGGCTCGAAATCGTGCTAACTCTAAAGTAAGATTGGAACTTGGTTGAAAAACGGCATGAAAACGCAAAAAAAAACCCAAGCGTCAAACAAAATACCCATCGAAAGAGCTTATTCTATCTCATAGCTTTGGTCGAAGCTAATTAGAGCGCGGAAACCGCAGAAAAACGGATATTTTTGGAGCGCAATCATTTCAAAAGCATTTAAAGCCTTCTGAAAAACGTAACGGTCCTCTTTTTGAACTGCACTGGGTTGAGTGTGTAGCAGATATGCTAGACTTCGTTACTGTAACTCTACAAAAAATTTGGACTCAAATGATTACAATCTTGAAGAGAAATGGACCTTTGTTTGAGGTGTTCGTATAATTATGAACCGCTAAAATTTCTCATTAGGCGCAAAAACACTTCTATAATTGACATGGATTTCCATTTTTAAGAATCGTATACCGTTTTCGGCTGTGTTCTATCGCGTGGTATCAACGGCTTTTCAAGATTCTCCCAAAAAGTCCAAAAACTTACAAAATTTTGGGTGTTTGTATAATTATGAACCGCACTTTATTATAAAAATCTCTTTTTGGCAAATGTCGCTTCAGCTACATGGTAATATTGCTCAAAAAGCTAAAATTATGGCCAAAAAAGGGTCAGAACGAGTATGGAAGTAGCCATCGACATGAACAACGTTTTGCTCTGCATGCCTTCAAAATCAGTATATGGTAGCGGCCTTTCAGAATATAGAAGTGGAAGACATGGTATAATTTGTTGAATTTTCTCATGCGCTGTGAAGTGCTGATCAGTGAGCGATGTGGATTGCACCACAATTTCGTACATCGCACCGGACTTTACCACTGTACTGCTCTTTTGCTTTTTGCAAGCCGTTTTTTACCTTATGAAAGCTTGTACCCGCTACCACACAAAATCATATATGTGCCTCACCGATTGCAGACAAGCGTTTCGAAAATGAGTTGTGTGCGTACTTACCATTGCCGAATTGTCCAGCAGTCAAGCCGCTTATAACTATGATGTAGGCCTGCAAAACAAGACTAAATTTGACTCGAAATTTATGCTATGTTTTATTTGCATGAAATTTTGCTTTTTGTAGGAGTGAAATGATTGAGACAAAATCTTACCACAATTAAAACATACATCGTCGAGTTTGTTCGTTTGTTTATCTAAATAAACCCAAATGACATTTGTGGCCTCAGCAGAGCAAGTATATCAACGATTACCAACCACACTTACAAGGGAAGGAAGGTTGGTCGAAGTGGCCTTTTAGAATGAGACGTACACTTTCTTGTAGAGCTTGGAATGCTGATTCCAAGTCTATTTTTGCTATCTGCTGCGGGCTTCTGGACGAGAAGTTATGAAGGTTTTTGTGAGTAAAAAAAATGCAGGATTAGTATAAAAGTCAGTTGTATTTTTCTGACGTTCAAGTGGAGCAGCAGCGAGTTGATATATTCGAATCAAGAATATTTGTTGCACCGAATGACTCGACTATTAGTTAAGCCCTAGGGGAAATGTTACGACTGATTTTACACTAATTTTACAATTAACTTTTTACTCTTAAAAACCTTCATAACTCCTCGCCCACGAGCCCGCAGCAGATAGCGAAGGCAGATTTGGAATCAGCGTTCCAAGTTCTATAAGATAGTATACATTTCATTTCAAAAGGCCACTTCGACCAACCTTCCTTCCCTTGTTAGAGATTCAAAATCCAAGGATGAAAATTCACGTTCTGGCAAAACCACCCAATATGTTTCCTACGAAGCGATCTAGATCTTGTACGATGTATTGTCAGAAGCACCGTAAACAGTAAGGCAAAGCAAGTATATCAACGAAATTACCAACCCATTCACTTATATTTTTAATGTTAGCACAAGCATGAATATAGGATTTTATAAAAAGTTTTTTGTAAGCCATGTTAATGGAATTTACATAACGACTATCTTTGAACGCTTGGAGAAGTTTCGAAATCGTAAATTTTTTTGAAAGAGTTGCCAAATAACAAATCGCTGAAGAAATGTGTTTGATAAAATAAACATGCGAAAAAGCTTTTTATTGAGGCACATGCTCGCCACGCTTGCTTATGATAATCATACAAAGTGTATTCTACCTTTCAAGCAGAAAGATCTTGCATACGATTGCGTTGATTTGGGAATAATTTCGCTGAAATACAATGAAATGATGCATTTATGTTTTATACATATGGTGTAGGCTGTACGTTTTCAGAACAGAGGCTATCTACATAATTTTCACAGCATTCATCCCCATTCTGTAGGCAAATGAGTAAATATGAATGACTTATGAGTAAATGATATTTTTTGGAACTACACACCAAATTCCGTTATGGCCATGGAATCAGTTGACTCCAGGATCTTCAGTCTTAAAGCATTTCCTATAAATTATCGAATCAAAATTATCTCAATTTAGCAAATCTTAAACATGCTGTCCCAAAAGATGTGCACACTGTTTGATCGTTAATAACTCTCCCACTTTCACTTCTGTAAAGCGAGGTTCAACCTAGATTACAGTATGGACCGAATCACCAATCACTCTTCGTTACTGTAAAATTACGGTATGAACTTTCAGCATACAGCGCCAGTGTGGAATAGGCCTTTTGATAAAAATGATTCCAAAAAAAATTAGAAGTTTGTGCAGCATGGTTTCCAAGCGTGCTGATTTCACTACACAACTTTTTACCAGTTTTTGAGCTCTTTTAGTGGTATAATCACATTCTGATAGCCATTGGAAGAACGGATGCTACCCTAAACTTGAAATAACTTACAAAAGAAGCATTACAGTAAAGTGCGAACTTTATATTCAAAATCAGCAACTTCGTTTAGTCCAGTAAAAGAGTTTCTGATCTGTTTGGTTTTCTTTCTGAGGCAAAAATTGCTTTCATTGGTCTAAAATCCTTCTCGAAATTCCCCAATCCTACAGTAACCAAAAAACCGGAGATATGCTTCCTACTTTGAATCTGAGTTGAACCTCGCTCTACAGAATGGTACCTTGAGCTTTACCATAGACTTTTAAGCAAGAGAGTTATTTTCGATCAAACAGTGTGCACATCTTTTTCGGACACCATTATAATGGTGTGAACTTCCTTTAGTACCTGTAAAGCACCATACAACTTAGCAAGTTGCCTTCAAAACGCTTGGATAAATCCTTCCAGAAAATTTTTCCAGTTTCAAAACACGCGTTCTGATAGATGTCCTGATGAAATTTGAGAAAATTTTCGTGATCCGCAATTTTGAGGTAACAGGTTTGTTACGGGGTCCTAGAACTGATTTGAAGTATAACCTGCGACACCAGAACAAATGCCTCCTCTAGTATTTTATTAGGTTGCCTCATAAGCTTCCAATTTTGACTTTTAACCGCAATATGTTCCACACTTCTCGTTCTGATTAGAATGCAGGGTACCGTTTGGTAGAGCAAAGCCAGCTCTATAAGATGGGTTGATGTGCATGCCGTTGTAATGTTGCCTCTGTGCTAGAAACCAAGAAAACTGAATTTTACAAGCTTCCCAAAAAGCAATGCTGCACTGTTCTCACATGGGTAGATGTATACTGCAGTCCTTTAAAAATACATCGGTAGATTTCCAGCTTTCTGGAAGCGCTAGTTCCCGAGAAATATTGAATTTAATATAAAATACCTTAGCAAAATAAGCTAAACTCAATATTGTTCGGGAACCAGCGTTTCCATAAAGTTGGAAATTTACTGATGCACTTCTGAAGGCTTGTGGTATACACCTACCCATGTGAGAACAGTACAGCATCGCTTTGTTGGAAACTTGAAAGTTTCAGTTTTCTCTTTTTCTAGCACAAAGGCAAGCACAATAACGCATATGTAAACGTCTTATTTGGTATGTGTATATGCGTGAACGAGTTTAGGTCTCGTAAGTCTTCTTTGTACAAAGATAGTTTATAGAGCATAAGCAACATTCGGATTTCAATTTTTCGGGCATCCGGATACTTCAGATTTCGGCTTCTAGTTCGTAATGTGCTGAAGGTGGTGTGAACACACAGCGCCATCTAATAGAACTTGTTTTGCTCTATCGAACGGTACCCTGCATTCCGATCAGAACTGAGAAGTATGTGACTTCTCGCGGTAGCAAACCAAATTTGAAAAACTTATGAGACAACTCAGTAGTTTCGACGTCACTGGAAGTTTACTTTTGAAAATCGGCACAAGGAAATGAATTTACCCTTTCACCCTCCTATGTGTGATGCCCACCGAAAGTAAGTGACCGCGGCAGACTGAGCTACACAGTAGAGTGCACAGTGAATATTATCTATCATGTATAATAACTGGCTAAGGGTGTTTACGCAAAATTGGGTCCGTACTACCACTTATTGCAAAGTAGTGATTATGTTTGGCAGATGAATGTGCTGGCCATGATCTTTAGCCCAAAAAAGTGATGGAAGTCTATTGCTCCAAGGAAAAGGCGCCAAAAGGAATTATTTGCGTAAATTTACCGGAGCATTTACGAAGATTTTTGCACACGGATGTAGCTCACCGTGGACATTATCATTATAGCGACTAACAAGATATGAAAAAAACCTAGAATTGTTCTTATTCTGCATTTGTTCTTCATTTTCCAAAATTTCATCCACCAAAGTACCAATCTCATACGAAAACGCCCAAGGAATGAGCAATTGTTCATTCGCGAAGGCGTGCTTAGTGCGGTATGTTTCAATGCTATATTATGCGGGAACATAGTTGCGATAGGGGGAGTGATGGATCTTACCCCCTTCACTTTGAGGCCAAACTCCCGATGACCCCCTTCACCTGGGCTAAGATTGGTATTGTACTCTGAGAATATGATAAAAATCGTTATTAAAAGGTTTTGCAGGCTAAGTACCTCAAACAACAAGTACACTCATAAATTTACTAAAGAAACGGTATTTATGTTTATTTATATTATTTATTTATCCTCGTAGCATTTTGGAGAGCAGAAAGTGAGGACACATCAGTTAATTTTTGAAGCACATAAAATCACTCATATCTCGCGGCACAGAAGACCTAGAAAAAAGTCGACGGTCTACGTCGATTCTCCATGATCTCAGCTTTCGAATGGTATAAGCATGTTAGGGCTTCTTTGCTTCCCGGCTCTAAAAATCATTTGCTTCGGTGACCGATAAAAGCCAATACATTGGTGGAGCCGGATTGGAGCAAGCTAATAGTAAATATCTCCACCCCATTTTTGAAAACTGGTCTGTTTTTTCGCCCAGCAACCTATATACCATTCGAAAGCTCAGGAAAAGGGGATTCGACCTAGACCATCGACTTCTTTCTAGCCCCCCTCTACCGAGAGATACACCGCATTTTATCTGAAAACATGGTCATTTTCAACAGCAGATTTCTGCCAAATGAAGACCTAATCATTGATGATTATCTATCTATGTTAAAGAGCAAGTCTTCATTAACAAACGTAAACCGTCGACTTTCTCGTAGCATTCATTTGGAGAGCAGAAAGTGAGGGCACATCAGTTAATTTTTGAAGCACATAAAATCACTCATATCTCGCGGCACAGAAGACCTAGAAAATAGTCGACGGTCTACGTCGATTCTCCATGATCTCAGCTTTCGAATGGTATAAGCATGTTAGGGCTTCTTTGCTTCCCGGCTCTAAAAATCATTTGCTTCGGTGACCCATAAAAACCAACACATTGTATAGATCGTCCCGAAAGTTTTTGCGCACGATTTTCAAAAATTCATAACTTTTGATTTTTCCGACCGATTTGACTGCTGTCATTTTTATTTGAAAGGGTAAGTCATGCTCTTTATAATGACATCTCAGCTGCTTAGTAATGGCCATCTGTTACATAGATAGAAGCTCAAAACCAAAATCACTCAAAATTTGAATTTTTGTGTAGGGTCATAAAAAATCAGAAACTTGCAACAAAAATCGGAGCAGTCCAAGTCTCGGATTTTTTATGACCCCACACAGAAAATCAAAATTTTTACCATTTTTCTTCTATCGCTCCTATCTATGCAACAGATGACCATTACTAAGCAGCTGAGAAGTCATTATAAAGAGCATGACTTACCCTTTCACATAAAAGTGAAAGCAGTCAAATCGGTTGGAAAATCAGAAGTTATGTATTTTGAAATTCATGCGCAAAAACTTTCTGGACGACCTATTAAGAGCGAGGTGGAGCAAGTTAATAGTAAAAAATGTGCTGTGGATTGACATCGTTATCAGCACTAACGGAAACGTGAGCGAACGCGTCTATTTGAG